GGATCCGTATGGGATCCCATACAGTCCGTATAGGATCCGTATGGGATCCCATACAGGTCCGTATAGGATCCGTATGGGATCCCATACAGTCCGTATAGGACCCGTATGGGATCCCATACAGGCCGTATAGGATCCGTATGGGATCCCATACAGGCCGTATAGGATCCGTATGGGATCCCATCCGTCTAGGATCCGTATGGGATCCCATACAGTCGTATAGGATCCGTATGGGATCCCATACAGTCCGTATAGGATCCGTATGGGATCCCATACAGTCCGTATAGGATCCGTAGGGGATCCCATACAGTCTGTATAGGATCCGTATGGGATCCCATACAGTCTGTATAGGATCCGTATGGGATCCCATACAGTCCGTATAGGATCCGTATGGGATCCTATACAGTCCGTATAGGATCCGTAGGGGATCCCATACAGTGGGAGCTCCCGTAGGGTCACACACCCCCCACCTGCCCGCGCAACGGAACACAACGCAACAGAGGCTGCTCATACAGCCGTGTTGCGTTGCGTTGCGTTGCGTTGCGGGGGGGGGGGGGGGGGGGGGTCCTGGTACACCAGTGGGTTGTTTCGCTACATGGAGCAAAACAGCGAACTGGTGGACCGGCTCCGGGTACACCAGCAGGTTGTTTTGCCTTGTTGTTGTTGTTGTTGTTGAGTTCTCATTCTGAAGGATAATTATTGTTGATCTCCCCTCACCGGGTTAATTATTTTTCTCAATCAAAATGTGCCCCTCGACGCTCGCACCCTGTTTTTTGGCAGGAGAAGTCTTGATGCTCAAACTGCGCCCCTGGCCCCCGGGTTACAACAACAACAGCCAGGACCCCGGCTCCCGCCCGAGACTCCTTCGCATTTTATTATGGAATCGCGCTCTCGCTTGGGACTTCCTTACAATTTATTCAGGAATCGCTCTCTCGGCGCTCTGGAGTCGCGCTCTCGCTGGAGACTTGCTCGCAATTTACTGACGAATAGCGCCCTTGCGTTGGAATTTCTTGCAATTTACTCGAGCGCCGCGCTCCCGACTCCCAGGCACCCAGGAGTCGCGCTCACGCTTAGGACTCCCTCACAGATTACCTAGGAATCGGGATCTCGCTGCCCTTCGTGGCCCCGTTGCAGCCTTTCGTGGCCCCCTCGCTTTGTTTCGTGGCCCCGTTGCAGCCCTTCGTGGCCCCCTCGCTTTGTTTCGTGGCCCCGTTGCAGCCCCTCGTGGCCTCCTCGCTGCCCTTCGTGGCCCCGTTGTAGCCCTTCGTGGCCCCCTCGCTTTGTTTCGTGGCCCCGTTGCAGCCCTTCGTCTTCGTGGCCCCCTCGCTGCCCTTCGTGACCCCGTTGCAGCCCTTCGTGGTTCCGTTGCAGCCCTTCGTGGCCCCGTCGCTGCCCTTCGTGGCCCCGTTGCACCCCTTCGTGGCCCCCTCGCTGCCCTTCGTGGCCCCATATATGTATGCCCTTCGTGGCCCCCGCTCGTTCGCGCCCGTGGTGGCCCCATATGCATGCCCTTCGTGGCCCCGCTGTCGCCCTTCGCGGCCCCCTTGCTGCCCTTCGCGGCCCCGTTGCTGCCCTCAGTGGCCCCGTCCTTGCCGTCCGCGGCCCAACATACGTATGCCCTTCGTGGTTCCCGCTCGTTCGCGCCCGTTGTGGTCCCATGTGCATGCCTTTCGTGGCCCCGCTGTCGCCGTTTGTGGTCCCCTCACTGTCCTACGTGGCCCAGTTGCTACCCTCAGTGGCCCCATCGTTGCCTTCTGTGGCCCCGCATTGTCTGTCCTTCGTGGCCCCCGCTCGTTCGCGCTCTCTACGGCCCTATACGCATTCACTTCGTGTCCCCGCTGTCGCCCTTCGTGGCCTACTTCGTGTCCTTCGTGGCCCTGCTGTCGTTCTCTCTCGCTCTCGCTTTCGCTCGTCCTCGTTGTCGCCGTCGTCGTCGTCGTTGTCGTCGTCGTCGTCGTCGTCGTCGTCGTCCGTCGTCGTCGCCGTCGTCGTCGACGTCGTCGTCGACGCCGTCGTCGTCGTCGTGGTCGGTCCCCTGTCCGTCCCTCTTGGGGTCGGGTCGACGGTTCGCGGCCGCCCCGCCGATTAGCGCTGCCGCTGGCCAGGCCGACGGTCCGTGGCCGCCCCGCCGCTTGCCGGGGCCCGGCCTGTAGGGAAGAAAGGTATACCCCCCAAAAGGGGTTCGATCGAAGACGAAGAGGGCGGGTATCGAGGGTTTGGGAAATACGAGTTATTGGACATTCGAGCAGAGAAAGGCGAACAGTCTTAACATGATTGTTGTTGTTGCTGCTGCTGTTGTTATTCTTTAGGCTTACGCCACACCGCCGACCCCTTGTTTTTTTTTGGAGGCAATCTTGGACGTCTTGGGGGCGTCATGGCCCGACTTTATCCCCCGCATTCCTATCGTCGTCGTCTTTGCTCCTCCTCCCAGTAGTCGGCCCATCCCGCCACCGTGCCTGAGTTGTGGTTCAGAGGCCTCTCAGATATTCGTTGGGATCTCGTGAGAAGCCTCTCGGGGGCCTGCTGGAGGCAGTTTGGAGGCACCTGGGGAGCTGTTTTGGGGCTTATTGTGGCCTTTTTTGGGCCTCTTGGGGGCATCTTGGGGCCTCTTGGGGGTCTCTTGGGGCCTCCTGGGGGCCTTTTGGGGCGGAAAGCTGTTTTTTTCGCTTCGTGATCTCCCTCTTGGGCCCCTCTTGGGCTGGCCTTGGGGCTCTCTTGGGGCCTTCTTGGGCTGTCTTGAGGCTCTTTTGGGCCGTCTTGGGGTCCTCTTGGGCCGTCTTGGGCCTGCTTGGGCCGTCTTGGAGGCCTCTTGGGCCGTCTTGGGGCGGTCTTGGGGGCCTCTTGGGCCGTCTTCGAGCGTCGGAAGCCCGAAAAGGTGAGAAAGCCAAAAACATTGAAAAAACCAATGAGAATCAACGATTCTCGCCTTTTGGGGCCTCTTGGGAGGCCTCTTGGAAGCCTCTTGGGGCGTCTTGGAGGCATCTTGGGGCGTCTGGAAGCCATTTTGAGCGTCTTCGAGCGATTTTTCGGCGTCTCGGGGCCCTCGTGGGGTGTCTGGGAGGCTTCTTGGGGCCTTCTCGGCCCGTCTTTGGGCCCTCTTGGGCCCGGAAAAGCCCCGTGACGCGCTCGTGGTGGGCACCCCCCCCCCTCCAAATCGACCGGACCAGGTTCCCGGGGGAGGGGTTTGGGGAGGGGGAAGCATCTCACACGCCGATGATCTCGGAACATCATCGAGCGGCGAAAGGAGCTAAAGTGGTGTGCAGAAGCTGCGAGGAACTCGGGTTCACAGCGCGCAGTTGCCAGGCTTATCAGTGCAGCGGCGCGTGCAAGAGAGGACTACCAAAGTCGGCGTTCCCCGACACGCACAATGTCCCGCGCGACGCAAAGAAGGGCACCCTAAAGTGCAAGACGTGCAAAGGATGCCCAATCGGTTGCGCGTACTGGGCAGAAAAGGGAGGACGGGAAGAGGAGGATGGGGGATGAGGCGGAAAATGGGGGGGAGAAGCATCGGTGAGGATGAGCTGAAGCGGGGCAGGAAGAGGAGGAGGGGAACGAGGAGGAAGTGTAGCAGGAGGAGGAAGAGGAGGAGGAGGGGGACACTGAGATGAGGCTCCGGGTTATGGGGCTGGGCGCGACTCGAAAAACTGGTGTGTTCGGAGATGTCCGTTGGGATCTTGCGGGGGGGCTTCTTGCGGGCCTCTTGGAGCAGTTTCGAAGGCTCTTGGGGGCCGTTTTGGGGCCTCTTTGCGGCTTCTTGGGCGCCTCTTGGAACGTCTTGGGGGCCTCTTGGGGGGTTCTTGGGGCCTCTTTGGGGCCTCTTGGGGCCTCCTGGGGGCCTCTTGGGGCGTAAGGCTGGGTTTTCCGGTGCGTGGTCTCTCTCTGGAGCCCCTCTTGGGCCCGTCTCCGGGAGGTTCTTGGGCCGTCTTGGGCGGCTCTTGGGCCGTCTGGGGGCTCTCTTGGGCCGCCTTGGGCGGCTCTTGGGCCGTCTGGGGGCTCTCTTGGGCCGTCTTGGGGGCGTCGTGGAGGCCTCTTGTGCCGTCTTGGAGCAGTCTTGGGAGCTTCTTGGGCTGTCTTGGAGCGTCGGAAGGCCGAAAAGGCGAAAATGACGAAAACGTTGAAAAAAACAAATGAAAATCAACGATTTTGGCCTCTTGGGGCGCTCCTCGGGGGCCTCTTGGAGGTCTCTTGGGGCGTCTTGGAGGTCTCTTCGGGCGTCTTGGAGCCCTCGTGGGGCGTCTTGGAAGCCTCTTGGGGCCTCTTGGGCGCTTCTTAGGGCGTCTAGGCGGTCTCTTGGGGCGTCTGGGGGCCTCTTGGAACGTCTGGGAGGCCTCTTGGGGCCTTCTTGGCCCGTATTTGGGCCTTTTGGGCCCGGAGGAGCGTCGTGAGTCGCTCGTGGTGGGCACCCCCCCCCTCCACGGGGGAGGGGTTTGGGGAGGGGGAAGCATCTCACACGCCGATGACCCAAGGGGTCGGCGGATTATTGTTGTTTCTTCTCTCTCTCTCTCTCTCTCCTCTGATGGAGGTGGAGGAGGAGGAGGAGGAGGAGGAGGGGGGAGGAGAAGAAGGAGAGGGGGGGAGGCTGGTTGGCTGGCGTGCTCCTGGTGAGCTGGCACGTGGAAGCTTCGGCCGCAGCCCTCTGGCGGAGAGGGCTCGGAGGCGGCCTTGCTGCGACAGCTCTGGCACTTAAGAGCTGGGGGGCGGTGTGGGTGGGTGGGGGAGCTTGGCAGGGGAGCTCTTGCTTGGAGCTCGGTACCTCCTGGATTCCTCCCACACTGCCTGGTCGACGTGCGTCGCAGGTACGAGCTGGGAGGGAGGGGGGCAGGGAGAGGGGGAGTGAAGGAGGAGGATGGGGGGCAGGGGGAGGAGGCAAGAGGAGGGAGGATGAGGGAGGAGGAGGGAGGAGGAGTTGGAGGAGGACCCCATCCTCCTCCCCACCCCTCCCGCCTCCTCTCCCTCCTGCCTCCTCCTCCCTCTCCTGCCTCTCCTCTCTGCCCTGGCCGCAGGCCATCCACTCCGACCAGCTCCCCATGCTCCTGGCCGCGCTGGGCCTGGACCCCAGATCGCTCGCCGGGGCGGCGCCTGGCAGCGACGCGCTGGAGGCCTCCCCCCGCTGGGAGGGGGGGCGCGAAATTTCAGTCGACAACGTATGGAGAATCAGTGATTACCACTTCTGGAGGCCTTCTTGGGGGTCCCCTGGGGGCGGCTTCGGGCTTTCGGCTCCCGGAGGCCGTCTTCTGGCCCTGTGGCCGACATGAAGCGACTCGGGATGGAAAGCCGTCTCTGGGGAAGGGGTGGAGATCACCGGGGTCCGCGTCACGAAAGTAAGTGCGACGTCGGAGGCAGGAAGACGGTGGCGAGGGGTGAAGCAGGGGAGACAGGAGGGGGGATGGGGGCAAGGGGGGGAAGACAAAGGGTGGGGACAGCAGGGTGGGCCGCCCGGGAGCGAGCCCCCGGCCAGAGGGCCCCTCTGCCCCCGAGTCCCGCGTCGGCCGCGAGGTGCTCTGCAAGGCGATGGAGGAGCAGGGCGGCGGTGGTGCAGAGGGTGGCAGCTGAGCGCGTCGGCCGCCCGCTCGGCCTTGCCCCCCTCGCCCCCTCCCGCCTCCCGCCTCCTCGCGCGCCTCTCGCACCATCCTTCCCTTCCCTCTTCCACCCCGGTCCGCTCTCCTCGCTCTCCGTCTCGTTTCTTCTCGGTGTTGCCGCGGTCGTGATCCTCCTCACTGCTCCTCCCCCTGCTACTCCCGCAGCTCCGCGTCTCTCTCACTCCCTCCTTCCTACCCTCCCTCCCCTTTCCTCCCTCCATCCTCCCCTCCTTCCTCATCCCTCCTACTCCTTCTCCTCCTCCTCCTCCTCCTCCTCCTCCTCCTCCTCCTCCTCCCCACGCTCCCCTCCTCCCTCCTCCCTCCTCCCTCCTCACTGTGCTCTCCCTGGCTCGCGACTCTTCCCTCCTCCCTCCCCCACCTCCCCCTCCCTCTCTCTCTCTCTCCCTCCCTTCCTCTTTCCGTCCCTCCCAAAGGCCTGGGGGCACCCGAGTGGGTCCCCACCCCCGTCACCAAGGGGGACCCCCGGGCGTTGGGGTTATTGTCCCGGGTCCCGAGCCACAACGAACGCCACCTACAGGACACAGCCTCTTGGAGAACCGGTCCTGAGGCTTTCCGTCTCTAAGTGGAAGCTCTAATACTACATTGAATTCTGCAAGGAGAAATACAGAGGAGGAAAGGGAGGAGGCGAGTCGCTAGGTGCGTGCGGCAGCAAGGGCGGCCCGGCAGGGGCAGGGAGAGGAAATGAGAGGAGCGGCTGGGGGCGGGGGCGGTCGGGTCGGTGGTGGTAATGGCAGTGGTGGTGGTCATGGCCCCGTCTTGCTGGCCGTGGTCGTGGTCGTGGTCGTGGTGCTGGTCGATGATGGTCGCGGTGGTAAACGTGCTGGCGCTGGTCGTTGTCGTGGCGTCGGTGGTCGTGGGGGTCGTCGCGTTCAGAGTCGTCGTCGCGGTGGTCGTGGTGGCAGCAGTGGTTGTCATGCTGGTGGCGGGCGTGGTGCTTTGGGTTCGTGGTTGTGCTCGCGGCCGCCTGTGGTGGTCCCTCGCTGCCGCCCTCCCTCCCCTCCCTCCCTCGAGGCCTCCCCAATGGGGTCCGAGTAGATGGTGTCGGTGGATCGCGCCGCATCGCCGATGAATTTGGGATGCAGCTCGATATTGAGCCCGACTCTCTTCACGCCGGCGTCGCAGATGCAACGCCGATGTCGTCAATGCATCGGCGATGCTTACATGGGCAACCTTAGCGCGGAAGCGCCCAAATCGGTAATCCGAGCACTGAAACGCGGAAACCGCCAATCCGAGCACGGAAAACCCCGAACCGACATTCCGAGCAGAAACGGTCTGATGCACCGACCCCGTCCGTCTGCTCGACCCACTGGGGAGCCCTCCCCTCCCTCTCCCCACGGAGTTCAAGACCGTAGTTATTTCGACCCCGTCCGTCTACTCGACCCACCGGGGAGCCCTCCCCTCTCCCCACGGAGTTCAGGAGCGTATTTCCCATCGACACTTGAGGGGCCACGGTCCCCCTGCTTCGCTCTCAGAAGGGCTGCGCCCCGGCGCGCACTGCAGCGTCTCGCTCTCTCTCTTCTCTCTCTCTCTTTTTTTGTTCCCTCTCTCTCTCTCTCTCTCTGTCTCTCTTTTTTTTCCTCTCTGACTCTCTCTATCTCACTGATCGCTGAAAGGGGTCTGACAGCCCCACCCCGCCCAGGACCATGCGGGTTTGCTATCGGGGGCATGCCGTCGATCTATTGGCTATGTATCGCCGATTCCAGGTCTCCTCCTCCTCCTCCTCCTCCTCCTCCTCCTCCTCCTCCTCCTCCTCCTCCTCCTCCTCCTCCTCCTCCTCCTCCTCCTCCTCCCCCCCCCTGTCCCAGCCTCCCCCCCCCCCCGCAGTCGTTGCCCCACGCTCTCGCCTCCCCCTCTTCGTGTCCTGCCCCCCCCTCTTAGACGCCGCACGCGGGGCCCCTTCGCGCGAGCGCCCGGGCCGCCTCACGCCCCGGCGAGCGCGGCGTCCGCGGGGGGGCGGCGTGCGTGCGGGCGGTGGCAGAGGGAGGGAGGGAGGGAGGAGGGAGGAGGAGGAGGCGGAGGAGGCGGAGGCGGAGGCGGAGGCGGAGGCGGAGGCGAAGGAGGAGGAGGAGGAGGAGGAGGAGGAGGAGGAGGAGGAGGAGGAGGAGGAGGAGGAAGAAGAGGAGGGGCGAGGGGGAGGGGGATTGGGAGAGGCAAGCCAGCCAGGTACGCTCGCGCCACATCTGACATCTTGCCCCTCGCACCCATCCATTCCCATTGCGCCGATGGTCTCTCTCTCTCTCTCTTTATATCCGCGGGCGCGCGTGATAGCGGACCTGGAATTCCAGAAAGGGTCCCATCGTGTTATGCGCAGTCGGAAGCGGGGAGCGGCGTAGATTGGAGGGGGTGGTGGCGGATGGGCACGAGGATGAGCAGGAGGAACATGAGGCCGATAAGGAACGAGGATAACGAGGACAAGCAGCAACAGCAGCAGCAGCAGGAACTGGAGTGGAAGGAGCGGGAGGATCAGCAAGCCAGATTCCAGGAGGGTATCCGAGTAGATGGGTCGCAGGATCGGCCGCATTGCCGATTCATTGGCGATGCATCGCCGCCGCCAGCGTGGAGGAAATCAGGCTCGACATCGAGCCGTATCCACAGGAAGGAAGCCGCCACGTCGAGGACAGAGTCGGATCCAGAACTGTGGCCCGCGCAGGGGCGAGAGCGTCATTCTGAACGGCGGAAGCAACGACAGATTGCCCGAAACCTCCCATCGTGGTTTCTTCACGACGCGAGAGGGGTCTGAAGATGAGGTGGAGGAGGTTGAGGAGGCGGAGGAGGAGGAGGAGGAGGAGGAGGAGGAGGAGGAGGAGGAGGAGGAGGAGGAGATAAGGAGAAGGAGAACTAGCAGCAGCGGCAGCAGCAGCAGCGGCAGCAGCAGCATGAAGAGTAGGAGGATGATGATGATGAGGAGGAGCAGGAGGAGGATGATGAGGAGGAGGACGAGGAGGAGCAGGAGCAGGAGGAACAGGACGAGTTGCAGCATGAGGAGCAGGAGAAGGAGGAGGAGGAGAAGGAGGAGGAGGAGGATAATGAACAGCAGCAGCAGCATGAAGTGGAGGAGGAGGAGGAGGAGGAGGGGGAGGAGGAAGAGGAGGAGGAGGAGGCGGAGGACAACAATCTAAGTTTAGGAGTTTGTGTTAGTGTTCTTCTTCCCCTCTCCTCCTCTGCTTCCTCCTCTTCCTCCCCCCTGCTCCTCCCGCTCCTGGCACACGATATTGAATTTTGAGCGCATACATGGCGCCTTCTGCACGAGTAAAACCTAGGGCGGGTTTTGCCTCAGGGCTGCTCGTGTTGCCGCAGCCTTCCGGTTTTTCAGTGTTTCCCTCCCCCCTCCTCCTCTTCGTCGTCCTCCTCTTCCCTTTCCTTTCCTCCCCGCCCCCGGTTTCACCGATACGACCTTGGGGATTTGTCGTATCGTCCCTAGGCTTGCTCCCAGAGGGCGGGGCAAATATAACACGTTAACATACCTGCTCCGCATGTTGGCTCCGTTTGTGCAGTTCCCCTTCTTCCTTCCCCCTTCCTTCCTCCTCCTCCTCCTCCTCCTCCTCCATGGTAGTGGTGACGTCTACCTGGCCGGTCGCTTTAAGTCACGGTCGCTATCGAATTTTAGCCTGTATCCAATGGGTGCGATTATAGCCCTCACGAGGGGAAGCGGATCTGTCTGATCTGATGTTGGACGGGCATCGTCTGGTTTGGTTCTGCTGTCGAGGTCATTTGCGTTGAAATGGGAAAAATCGAACTTTAGGAGTTTATAGGCCGACAGTCTCGCTCAGAGATTGAGCTTGCAATTCAAGGCGCCTACTTCCGAAGTGTAGGGCGGCTCCAGGAGGAGCGGGGTTGGTTCAGGTGAGTATGATGAAGAGAGTTTGATCATGTTTGGGCGGGTTGGGCGGCGGGCTTTCGCTGGACAGGCTCGCGCCGCCAGCGCCGCTGCTTGTATCGACTTCCGGCGGCCAGAAAAACGAACGTAGGTTTTGTCGTGCCGGTCTCCTTCCTTCCTGTCTTCGCACCCTTCCCCGCGTCGTTCGCATGCTTTTGACTCCGTATCGCACTGCCGCCCAGTCTAGGTGAAGATTTGAGCTCATGTAGACTGCACTGGAAGACTAGGTTTGGAGGTGGAGCTTGGAGGCGGATGGATCAGGAACTCCTTGGCCCTGCGCCGACCTTTAGGCGTAATGGTTCGGATACGATGCGGTGTGCGTGGATCCGCCCTCCGCATCAGCACTTTCGTTACCGTCCTTCGGCGCACGGTTTTCGAGGTCATTTTTTTACATCGGCCCTTTCATCGAAGATGTATGGGGCGTGGGGGGGGTAGGATGTTGGTGGAGGAGGGCAGTAACATACCGTGCGAGTCGACCGCTGCGAGCGTGTTGACCGCCAAAACCTTCGGCCTCCTCGCCGTTTCAGGCCGTTGCGATGGCAATCTAGCTCGACGGGCATCGGTACATTGTTTTTTTTTGTGCCCGGACAGAACACCTGGGCGACACAACCCGAAGGGAGGTGCCCAAGGTGCCTGCATGAATTCACATGCAGTCGGACCTCGCAACACGAACGGCGGCACGGACCCGCCCCAGGCGTTATCCGCGCCGCCGTTGCGAGGTGCCTCGAGATGCCACCCCGAGACACGGCCACCGGCACCACCCCCACTTGGCCGCCGGCCTCAAGCAGCCGAGGCCCCACTGCCCAAGGACTTTAGTTCCCGCGCCCCCCACGTCGGGGGACCCCTTCGAGTAACCCCATCGGGCCTCTCAGGGGTGGTACGGCGGGCCCGCACCTACTGTGGCTGGCCAACCACAGGGCAAGAGTCTCTCCCACAGCCCCGCCGAGCTGTGGTGACGATCGGGCTGCCAACCCGCCTGTTTTCCTGGGACGCCACGAGGGCACCCAGCGGCACAGGTGCCGCATCGGTATCGGTACATCGGCCCGAATCTAGCTCAGGGCACAACAACTTCAGCCGTGTGCGCTGTAGGCCCTCGGTAAAGGCCACGCCTGCTCTTTGGGAGGGTCGGGAGATGAGGGGGGAGGGTCTTTCTTGCCACACCACTCGCTGCAGCATGCTCTTGACTGTCTCTGCTGATCCCAACTGGCTTGCGTATTTTGGTTCTCGCCGACGCGCGCTGCTGCAGTACCATGGCTTTACCTTTATTTTATTGAGCGTTGCGTTCCGACCTGTTTTTTTTCTCAGATCGTTGCCACCAAGACGCGACGGCTCAAGTAAACCAGCGCTTGCCCCCCAAAAGGAGGATGAGGATGGGGATGAGGATGGGGATGAGGATGAGGATGAGGATTTGGATGCGGACGAGGATGATGATGCTGCTGATGAGGATGCTCATGCTGCTGATGATGATGATGATGATGATGATGGTGGTGATGATGATGCTGATGAGAATGATGATGATGATGATGATGATGATGATGATGATGATGATGATGATGATGATGATGATGATGATGATGATGATGATGCTGATGATGGCGATGGTGATGATGAAGCTGATGATGATGGTGATGATGATGATGATGATGGTAGTGGTGGTGATGATGGTGATGCTGATCATGATGATGATGCTGCTGATGATGATGATGGTGGTGGTGGTGATGATGATGATGATGACGATGATGATGATGATATGATGATGCTGCTGCTGCTGATGATGATGATGATGATGATGAGGAGGAGGAGGAGGAGATGGAGAAGGAGGAAGAAGAGGAGGAGGAGGAGGATGAGGAGGAGGAGGAGGAGGAGGAGGAGGAGGAGGAGGAGGAGGAGGAGAGGATGAGGAGGAGGTGGGGATGCAGGCACGCCTTTCTTGGCCTGGTGCTCGTTCCTAGGGTCGCTGCAGGAGGGTGGAGGAAATTGAGGAGGAGAGGCGACGCAGGCACCCCGCTCTTGGGCCGGTGCTGTTGCGCAAAAGCGCGCGCCAGCGCTGGCCCCTTCCTGGGCAGGCCCCTGGCGCGCGAGGGCCCGCACGCGGAATGCACGACCAGCAGCACGCGGATGGTCCGATGTGGCTGCGGGCTCGGCTGTAGACCCAGACCTTTGGCGCCGTCTTCTTGTTATTCGACGTTTGGTTTTCCTTTCGTACCTACCTGCGGGTCTCCTTGGTCCTCGGGGTCCCTCGTGGCCTCGGGTGGACGCGGTTCGGAAAACTGGCCCAGGATAGAGTTTGGGAGAGGTCTGCGGATTGAGTTTGACCGCCATGGAGGTGAGGGCTCCTGAGTGGCACGGGCCCTAGATCCCAGGACATTCTCCAGGACGAGCTCTCCGTCACGAGTCGTTTCTTCACTGTCCGGGGGCCCGTGGAGGGTCCCCAGGGCCGGAAAGCGGTGAATACAGGACTCTTTTCCTCCAGACCCGCTTCTGTCATGGTAATCGGAGTGGTGGACTCGCCGACCCAGGCGTTCTCTACCGCGGAGTGCGCTTTGTGGTATGTTCAGTCTCAACTTCGGCGGACCGCCCTTGGGTTCCGGGTCCATCCAAGAACGACCCGCGACGGGAGGCCAGTCGCAGGGGCGCGATGAGATCAAGCAGTTTCTCATGTGTTGTTTGTGTGTCTCTCTATCCATATGCATAGGCTACAACCTTTTCTCTTTATACACATATACGTATGCATGCATGTATGCATGCATGTATGTATGTATACATGCGAGGATTTATGCATACATGTACGTATGTATGTATGCACGTATGTTTGTATGAATGCTTGCATGTACATGGATGCATGCATAGATATACATGCATTCATGCAGGCATGCATATATATATACATATATATATATATATGCATGCATGCATGCATGTATATACCTGTGACTTTGCCTATGTATGTAGGTATGCGTGCACGTATACATACACATGCAGGTATGGATGCATACATGCATGTACGCATGCGTTTACGACTATACGCATGTATGCATGTATGCATGCATGTATGTATATGTATTTATATACTTTCAATTCTGGAGCTATGTATGTCTGTGTGCATGCAGTTCTGTGTGCTCGTATGTATATGACAACAGGTGTGCGTTCTTATTAATCTAATGTATTTATGTACGTATGCGTGCACGCTTTCATGTATGCATGTATGCATGTATGCATGTGTGTTTGTACGTATATCTATGGGTATACAGTTACATATCAGCTATCCTCCTGGATCTATAGCGCGTCGAACGACTTCTAGGTTCGAGCCTTGGTGGCGGGATCTCCGAGGCCCACGTGTTGAATAGATCGCGGCATCGGAGGTCTGGAGATACACGTTGTGGTGCCAGCCGCGCCGTGTGCTGAGCTCTGGTGGCGCAGAGCAGAGAAACAGCGCTTCCTCCTCGTTCTCCCTCCGCTCCCGATCCTGTGCCTCCGCCTGAGCTGCTACTGCTCCTGCCTCTCGCCTTGCACTGTTCCTCCCGCCCCTGATCCTTCCTCGCCTGCCTTCCTTCGTCCCCATGCCTCCTCCGTTGGAGCGCCGTGGTCGCCACCACCCGCCGCAGCAGAGTTTCCTCGCAGGGAAGACAGCCCGATCCATCTCTGCGATGGCAGCGTCGTAATTGGGTGCCTCAAGGGTCGAAGAATCCTGAAGGTAGAATCGCTGTCCTTCCTCGGCCAGTTTGGCTCAAGACGTTCGGGCTGAGGTTATGTTAGTGCAAGTGCGATCACCCGCGACTATCTGAGGGACAGCGGTGACGTCGGTGCAGCCCGTCGAGCAGTGACAGGAGCAGGTCTCCGCGACGGAGCCCCAGCACATCCAACCAGCCAGGTGGCCAGGGAGTGCGTCCCCGCGACCTGCCGAACATGGCCGTGAAGGCGCCTGGGCGGTGGGGCCTCAGGAGGGCCAGCTTGTCGATTTTATTAAGAAGCCAGTCTGCCGCGGGTAGGCTCCCCTAAGTGCCCTGCGTGGCGGGGTTGGACATCTTCTTCTTTCCCTGGCCGATGCGACCTCGCTTGGAGGTGCGGTAGATATGACGGTGCTTTGAGTGGACCTCACACCTCTGTTCCCGAGCCCCGCCGTTGTCTCCCGCGGGCCCGAGGCCAGCGTGGAGCAGGTGGGGTCGGCCGCTCCCTGGCCAAGAAGCGCGCCGAACTCATGAGGCAGCTGGGGGGGAGCCACAGCGCGCTTACGAGGCTCGCCAGTGAGCGATTCAAGGTGCTGCTGGAGGAGGGCAAAAGGCAGGGGCAACGCAAATCCGATCAGGCCAGAGGCCGGTACGCCAAAAGCACGGAGGCCTTCTTTACCGCAGGTGGCCAGAAGAGCAGCCTGGAGAAGAAGGGCCATAAAGACAGGAAGGACAATGGAACCAACAAGGGCGACAATAATGGCCGGAAGGCGACAAAAAAGAACGCTGCTGCGCCGGAAAAGGCCAGCTGGCGGCGCCTACGGCGGGTTCTTGGCGAAGGCGGAATGCCGAGGCGAAGTGGAAAAGTAGTGCGAGGCCGAGCCAATCACCGCGATCTCGAAGCTCGCTGGTCAGCGTTGGGCCGCGCTGATCCCCGATGAGAAGCAGCTTTTCGAGGAGGGGTACGTGACGGCGATGGCCGAGCACCGCGGCAAGCTTAAAACCGCTGAAGTCTGGCCGCGGAGCAACCCGCCGCTGCCGCGCCAGAGCAGAGCGGCAGGAAGACGGGCAGCCGCGGCAAGGCCGTGGACGAGGCGCTGACGAGGCCGCCGAAGACAGGCTGAGACTCAGCCACGCGCAGAAGGGGGGTAGGGGCGAGGGGGGAAGGGCTTCTTAGAAACACCCCCGCTTCTTAGACGGCGCTGGCCTTGTCTGTAGATGTGGGGCCCGCGGTTTCCTTCAAAGAAGCCTTCCCCCCTCCCTCTACCCCCCTCTGCGCGCCGCCAGGAGACACGGCCAGTTCTGCCAACAGGGTGTGCGCAGCACGGAGACTGGCCGCCACCGTGGCAATGCTGCCGCGGTGGCCGGCCGCCCCCCAATGGATGTGCTTGCTGGGCGGGGCGGTCGCTGAGCTCTTCAACGAGACTGGCGTGACCAGGGTCTTCGGGCTGCGTGGCTCGTCGCAACATCATGGAGTCGGGAAGGAGCCAGGCCGGGATGCTGCGTGCCCTCGAGGCCTCGCGCGGGTGCCGCGCTCCCCGCTTTCCTGGGCGCGCGGGGCGCGGTCGACTCTCGGGTTTGTCTCGTGGCTTACGCCTCGGCGAGCCCGTGCGCGCAGACGGACAGCCCCGCTAACTTGTCTTGCGTTCTACGGAACCGCGTGTCCTTCCGGCCTTTTAGGGTGACAAAATTCGCCTCCTTGGCTGCGCGCCGCATCGCGCAGCTGCCTAATGTGCCCGGCTAAGCCGGCACCTTGCTTGGGCGCCGGCGGCCGCGCCGTTTCGCCTTCTGTCCGCGCGTCAAAGCTTCCGGCCTGCTAGGGTGCGGGGTCGAAGGGCGTGCTCGCAGCGCGTGCCGCGGCAAGGGAGCGGGAAGCAAGGATCGTCTTTCGGGTGCGGTGGCTCTCGCCGTCGCTCTCGGCAGTCCGTCGACGACACGCCTGTCCTTGAACACTTCCTGCTGGGCCCGTTTTCCACCACCACCACCGGAAGTCGGAGGGGGTCCTCCTCCTCCTCCTCCTCCTCCTCCTCTTCCTCCTCCTCCTCTTCCTCCTCTTCCTCGTCTTCCTCGTCCTCCTCGTCCTCGTCGTCCACCTCCTTCCGTCCTCCAACTTATGGTGGTGGTTGTGGAAAACAGGCCCATCACTTCCACGCGACCGAATGCCAGAGCCTGTGCGGCGCCGTGCTGCAGAGAAGTGCCTCCATGGAGGAGAAGCGCATCCTGCTGATGGTCAAGGCCATCCGGGGCGCCCTGAGTCTCCG